GTAAACTGCAAGGTGCTAGATAAACCTAATTTTTATCTACCTCTTTTATTATTGCAGGATATGAACCAATATTTCCTGGCAAAAAACAACTTAAAAAATACGATTTATAATCAAGGTATTTCAAAGAAAAAAACCAGTAACCTTTGGATTATATGAAAAGATGAGGGATAAGAAGAGAAGGGTCAAAAATGATGTCTCCACTAGTGGACAACAGAAAGAGAACCAAGAGAGGAAGCACTCTTACACTCTACCATGATGATGCCTCCTTCCAAGTTCCCACTAAACCTAAAGTAAAAGACAATTACAAAATGTCTCTCAGCTTCAACTTTCATACCTACATAAAAAAATATAATCACAGAAACATAATGAATGAGACAGCCTATGTTAACAAGAAATGTGATGGCTGTTACATCACAAAATGCTGGCTTGTGTTTGCTTACTTTCTCTGGGGGCACCAAGAGAACTGAACACATGTCACCCTCTTACAAAGCAATTATCCTTATTCCTAAGAGGCAATGGAGGTGACTGGATAATTCTCTTGAGCTATGCATCACTCAAATGAATTCCTCTGCCAGAGGGCATCATTAAGACTGAACAGACCAACACAAAATGCAGCCATGTGGAAAGCTAGACAATCACGCAGCCACTATCCTCCTCAGTGATATACTTACTCAAAAATTTTGCTCTGGAAGAATTACAAAAATAGAGGGTTAAAATCCTTCCCGTTTAAAATGAATGACTACTTCAGCTGAAATGTATTTATTAAGTATATATATTTAAAACATACCAATAACTGAGAAAGGCAGGCAGTTTAATGGACAGCAAAATACCATTGATGAGATGGCATAATCCCAAGCACTCAAAGCTTTTAGTATCTGTTGCACAAAATCCACAATGCTTCCCACGCTCACTTCCTGGCTATGAGTTCTTTTACTGTTAATGGAAATGAAACTGCATTACATAGAAGTTTCTGGAGCTCTACATCTAAACTCAGCCCTTTTGAAGCAGCAGTCCTGGATGTGAGGCTGCCCATAAAACCCACTGCATGAAGACTTCCTATTGCAGTAAGTCACCTACAGAGACAACATTTACCGTAAGCTTCATCAGACACAGCATTATTTCAAAGAACCAGCAGGTCTCAGTTCTCAGAGTCACACTGATAAAGGAACCTACAGCCTCAGGTTCTCAGTTTAGTTAGATCTCCAGCTGTCACATTTTCTTGCCCTAAAGTGAAAGTAGTACATTTATAAATTACTACCTAGCACTTGTAAAAAAAAAAAAAAAAAAAAAAAAAAATCCAGCCAAATGAACTTGAGGTACTTTGTGTTAAAACAAGAAACCACTTTTATGTAACTCAGATTGGTTACCATGCCTATTTAGGGGAAAGAGGACAGACTGGCCTAATGCCTCCACCACCCAGAGAACATCTTTTTAAGCAGGCAGTATGATTAGGGGTAAGAAGATAACAAAATGGCACCATAACTTGAAAGAAAAAAGCCACAAGTCTTTTTCACTATTACTAACTTAATTCTACTAGTATATTAGTATAATGTGCAAAAATATTTCCCAAATGGTTAGCAGTTAACAGCAAGAAAAAGACTTCTTGGGGCTCCTGGGTGGTTCAGTCGTTAAGCGTCTGCCTTCGGCTCAGGTCATGGTCCCAGGGTTCTGGGATCGAGCCCCGCATCGGGCTCCCTGCTCGGCAGGAAGCCTGCTTCTCCCTCTCCCACTCCCTTTGCTTGTGTTCCCTCTCTCGCTGTGTCTCTGTCAAATAAATAAATAAAATCTTAAAAAAAAAAAAAAGAATACAATTTCTCCGTGTGCTAAATTTTTTGAAGGACTTACTTATCAATATCAGTAGTATATTATAAAAAAAACTTATTACATCTTGCTTAACACTTGTGACAACATAGAGCATGTTTACTATTAATATGCAAAACATGTCTATTTTATTTATTTTAAAGATGTCTATTTTAGACAATATTAAAATGTTTTCTCAACTGCAGGACATGATCCATTAGTGGAGTGTGAAATAAATACAGGAGGTCATGACCAACATGTTCTTTAAAGGAAAACAGTGTAAAATAAAAAAATACAGTACACCACACTTGGCAAGGGTATTATTTCATGAAATGTTTGCTGCAGATATACATACGTATTAAATTGTGTAGCACTGGATCACAATATAATTTATTTTTTTAGTGTGGGTCATAATCAAAAAAATAAAAGCCATCAATAAAAACCTTCCAGAGACACCTGGCTCACTCAAGTGGTGGAGCATGTGAGTCTTGATCTTGGGGTCATGAATTCAACCAAAACAACAAGATACCTTTAGAAATAAACCTAACCAAAGAGGTGAAAGACCTGTACTCTGAAAACTGTAAGACACAGATGAAAGAAACTGAAGATAACTCAAAGAAATGGAAAAAAGTTCCATGCTCACGGATTGGAAGAACAAATATTGTCAAAATGTCTGTACTACTCAAAGCAATCTACACCTTTAAGGAAATCCCTATCAAAATACCAACAGCATTTTTCACAGAGCTAGAACAAACAATCCTAAAATTTATATGGAACCACAAAAGATCACAAATAGCCAAATCAAAAAAAAAAAAAGAAAGAAAAGAAAAGCTGGAGGCATCACAATTCCAGACTTCAGATTATATTACAAAGCTGTAGTAATCAAAACAGTATGGTACCAAGGCAAAAATAGACACATAGATCAAAGAAACAGAATAGAGAACCCAGAAATGAAACCACAACTATATAGTCAATTAATCTTTGACAAAGCCAGGGAGAATATCCAATGGGAAAAACACAGTCTCTTCAACAAATGGTGTTGGGAAATTCAGACAGCAACATGCAAAAGAATGAAACTGGACCACTTTCTTACACCATACACAAAAATCAATTCAAAATGGATTAAAGACTTAATGTGAGACTTGAAACCATAAAAATCCTAGAGAACACAGGCAATAACCTCTTTGACATCAGCCATAGCAACTTCTTTCTAGATGTCTCTAGAGGCAAGAGAAACAAAAGCAAAAATAAACTATTAGGGCTTCATCAAAGTAAATCGCTTCTGCACAGTGAAGGAAACAACAACACTAAAAGGCAGCCTATGGAATGGGAGAAGAAGAAATAGCATATCTGATAAAGGGGTAGCATCCAAAATCTATATAAAGAACTTCTCAATCTCAACACCCAAAAAATGAATAATCCAATTAAAAAATGGGCAGAAGAAATGGACATTTCTCCAAAGAAGACATCCAGATGGCCAAACAATACATGAAAAAATGCTCCACATCACTCATAATCAGGGAAATACAAATCAAAACTATAATGAGATACAACCTCACACCTGTCAGAAAGGCTAAAATCAATTAACACAGGAAACAACAGGTGTTGTCAATGATGTGAAGGAGAACCCTTTTGCACCGTTGGTGGGAATGCAAACTGGTGCAGCCACCCTGGAAAAGAGAGTTTTCCCTGGAGTTTCCTCAAAAAGTTAAAAATAAAACTACGCTAGGATCCAGCACTCACACCACTAGCTACTTATCCAAAAATACTAATTCAAAGAGATACACGTGCCCTGATGTTTATACAGCATTATCAACAATAGTCAAATTATGTAAACAGCCCAAGTGTCCATTGATGAATAGATAAAGATGTGGTATAGGGGAACGTGGGTGGCTCAGTCAGTTAAGTGTCTGCCTTCAGCTTGGGTCGTGATCCCAGGGTCCTGGGATCGAGCTCTGCATCGGGGTCCCTGCTCAGCGGAGAGCCTGCTTCTCTCTCCCTCTGCTGCTCCCCCTGCTTGTTGAAAAAATTATACTTTCCCCCATCGAATGGTCTTGGCATACTGGCTGAAAAGCAATGGACCCCCAGATTCATATCTGATTCTCAATTCTGTTCCATTGACCTATTACGTCTATTCTAATGCCAGTACCACTGGCATTAGATCACTATTGCTTTGTATTAAGTTTTGAAATAAAAAAAATGTGAGTCATTTAACTTTGCTCTTGTTTTTCAATACCGCTTTGGCTCTTCTGCATACCTTGCAACTCCATATGAATTTCAGGATTAGCCTGTCAATTTCTACAAAAAAGCCGCTAGAATTCTGACTGGAATTGTGTTGAACTGGAGATCAATTTGGGGAGTACTACCATCTTAAGAATATTAAGTTTGATCCCTGAATATGAATGTCGTTCCATGTATTTTGGGCTTCTTTAATTTCTTTCAACATTTTATAGTTTTCAGAGTATAAATTCTATACTCATTTTGTTAAATTTATTCTTTTGATAGTACTGTAAATAGAACTGTTTTCTTAACTTCATTTTCAGATTAAACATAGATATTTTTAATAATAATTTGGACCTCTTCTCTCATGACCCATTCCTAGAAGCATATTATTTCTTTTAATTAGAGAAGTATTGGGGGTGCCTGGGTGGCTCAGTTGGTTAAGTGTCTGACTCTTGATTTCAGCTCAGGTCATGATCTCAGGGTCAAGAGATCCGGCCCCACATCAGGCACCACATTCAGTGCGGAGTCTGCTTGAGATTCTGCCTCTCCCTCGCCTTCTGACCTTCCCCCTGATCACACACACACTCTCTCTAATAAACAAATAAAATCTTTTATAAAAAAAGGTATTAGTATCGGGGCACCTGGGTGGCTCAGTTGTTAAGCGTCTGCCTTTGGCTCAGGTCATGACCACGGTCCTGGAATCGAGCCCCACATCGGGCTCCCTGCTCCACGGGAAGCCTGCTTCTCCCTCTCCCACTCCCACTGCTTGTGTTCCCTCTCTCTCTGTATCTCTCTCTGTTAAATAAATAAATAAAATCTTTAAAAAAAAAAGTGTTAGTATCCCTTAAACTCTAACTAGGGAACTCTTATATAAATGAATTTTCCAGATTAGTGACATTCCTTCAATAAAAGTTAAAAAGTAAAATCACTTAAAATGAAAATGTTTTTGAAGTTTCAGGCTTCATAAAGAGTATTTGGTGCTCATTTTGGCAGCACATATACCAGAATGGGAACAATACATAGATTAGCATAATTCCTGTGTAAGGACGACATACAAATCTGTGAAGTGCTCCATATTTTTACAAATTTCCAATTATAAAATAAGTAACAGGAATGTAATGTATAGCATGGTGACTACAGTAAATAATACTGTATTGCATATTTATAAGTTGTTCAGAAAGTAAATCTTAAAAGTTCTCATCATAGGAAAAAAAAATTTGTAACTATGTAGGATGAGAGATGTTAACTGGACTTACTGTGATGATCATTCTGCAGTATATACAAAAATATCAAATCATTATGTTGTACACCTGAAACTAATGTTATATGCCAATTATACCTCAATTAAAATAATTTTTTAAGATTTATCTTAGAGAGAGAAAGTACGTAAGTGGGGAGAGAGGCAGAGGGAGGAGAGAGATTCTCAAGCAGACTCCCCAGTGAGCACAGAGCCCAAAATGGGGCTCAATCTCACAACCCATGAAATTATGACCTGAGCCAAAACCAAGAGTCAGATGCTTAACCAACTGAGCCACCAAGGCGCCCCTAAAAAAATTTTTTAAAGACAGAATATCTGATTTTTTTTTTTTATGAATCTGGTCAAGATAAATAAGAGTTATATTACGTCACTAGAGTGACACCCTTAAAGGTTAATGAAGTACATAAGGTTATTCTGCCTAGACTGCTCTGTTTTGTATACTCTGTCCCCTCCCTTGCTATCAGTCAGCTAGTGATTACTTCCTAATATATGTACCTTCTCTTGTGTTCCTACTCTACAGGAGACTAAGAAAATAAGCTTGTTAGAAATGCATATAAAGGGGCGCCTGGGTGGCTCAGATGGTTAAGTGTCTGCTTTCGGCTCAGGTCATGATCCCGTGGTCCTGGGATCGAGTCCAGCGTCGGGCTCCCTGCTTAGCGGGGAGCCTGCTTCTCCCTCTGCCTCTGCCTCTCTCTCTCCCTATCTCTCATGAATAAATAAATGGAATCTTAAAAAAAAAAAAAAAGAAAAGAAATGCATATAAATATGAAGACAGAAGCTTTAAGGAAAAGACTGTAGTTCTAAAATACAGATACTTTAGGGTACATAGATCCTAAGATACCTATTTTGGCTGCTAAGACATTTTAAAATTTTTATTTTTCTTTTGGTTGCTAGTCTTCAGCTTTGTTCCAGAGAGCTAGAACTTGTTAAGAAAAATGATACCATATGCAGCTTTACTATAACATAGCTAAAAATTTCAGCCAATGTAATTTATAGTTCTAATTTACCTTAATACACTCTACATAAATTTTTGTGAAAAAAATAACTGAATATTCTGAAAATATAGATATTGTAGAATATCTGTAGAAAACTGTACTTCTATCATTGATGTATAAATTTCCTGCCCAATATATATAAAACAAAACTAATTTTATCCACTAAGCTATAGAGGATGTTATATTTCTGATAATAATCTATCTTTATGAAAATGTTTGTGCTATTTACTTACTATAATACTAAAATCTACAAGTAACCAGAAGCCCAATTATATGGTAACAGTTGTGGTAATTCAGTTGATGAAAAAGAATATAGCCATTAAACTTATAATCATGAAAATCACATTACCATTTTAGTAAATAAAAAGCAGAATCCCAAAGCATATCCAACTTTGCTTAACCAAAGTGCATATATACGTATATGTGACTATATACATATATGTACATACATATACACATGACAGAACAAAGACTTTGCTCTAATTTTCTGTGATGTTACAATTCTGTCCACCAAAACAAACAAAAACAATACAAAACTACCTTCATGAATTGGAATTTCTGGATGTTCAAATCCAAACCATCTAATTATTTAGATTTTTAAAAATTATTTAGATTAATGAATCTCTGAAATAGTTTATAAAATAAAGATAAATAGAAAAAGTAGCATTACAACCTCAAAAAGACATGTTAACTTTTAGTCTCATGGCAGAAACATTCTAAACTACCTAGAAGAGTCCTTTAATCATAGGAACACAGAATTACTTAAAATCACAAAGCATTTACTGTTGAAGCAAAACCATCCAAACTTGAGAAACTCCCACTATTATTCTTTACATACCAGTACCATTGGATAAAAAAAGACTGTTTTGTGTTTTTTAACAATATAAAAAAATTTGGGGTGCCTGGATGGCTCCGTTGGTTAAGTGTCCGATTTTTTATTTTGCTCAGGTCATGATCTCAGTGTCATGGATCAAGCCCTGCACTGGGCTCCGTGCTCAGCGCAGAATGTGCTTGTCCCTCTCCTTCCCCCCATTTGTGCTCTCTCTCTCTCTCAAATAAATAAATGAATAAAATCTTTTAAAAATATATAAAAAATTAAATATCTTTCAATTTTTTAAAAAATTATACTTTTTTGTGGGAAGGGGGAATGAGATCAGACATTTCTTATTAATTTATGCTCTCCAGCAAGGGGCAAAGATAATATGTAATGCCTTTCCAGGTTTTTTTGCTACCTACAGAATAAAGTGCAAACTCTCCATCATGGCCCACACCTAGTCAAGAATGGACTGCTGACATCTCTAGCCTCACCTCCCCTACTGTACCTTATTCAAATAAAAAGCTCAGGGCAGAATAAGGTACAATGTTTATAATGTCCTCCTCCACTTTGATTTTACTCTAAATTCCAAAATACCTGTTTTGCAAAATTAAGAATAAATAAAAATAATAATTAATTAATTAGCCAATGCTTTCCCTCTTCACCTCCCAGAAAAATCACTGAAGATTAAAGTTGGGAATGGTCCACTATAGAAACTAAATAATGCTACTTAAAGAAAAGATTTTTGGCTATCATTTTATATTTTATATTTCTTTTCCTAATAATAGGTAATCGTACTAAATGCCAATGACTACCATCATTGGTGATTTTAACCACCATCAACAAAGAACATTTGTTAGTGGATTGTTGTCATCACTAATGCTATATAAAGTCCAGACCAACAAAAGCAAGAGTTACTTAAGTTTTAGACCTGTAAGGACCCTTGGCGTTGCCTAGTCCAACCTTCATCATTTTAAAGATGAGAGAGATTAGAGACTAAATGCCTTGGTCAAGGTAAAGTAAACTAGCCTGCTTCTCCCTCTCCCACTCCCCCTGCTTGTGTTCCCTCTCTCGCTGTGTCTCTCTCTGTCAAATAAATAAAATCTTTAAAAAAAAAATTAATGAAAGATATGTGGATAACTAAGAAAATTCCTTAAAAATCAAGTATCAATAATTTTTTTTTAAAGATTTTATTTATTTATTTAACAGAGAGAGCGAGAGAGCACAAGCAGGGGGAGCAGCAGAAGGAGAGGGAGAAGCAGGCTCCCCACTGAGCAGGGAGCCCGATGCGGGGCTCAATCCCAGGACTCTGGGATCATGACCTGAGCCCAAGGCAGACGCTTAACCATCTGAGCCACCAGGCGCCCCAAGTATCAATAATTTTTAATTTTGAGGGAAGGGGTTTGGGGACGTACATGAAAGAAAACATAGTAATAGTGCTCTCGTAGCTCAGCTGTGAACAATATTTTCACAACCATAACACTATAAATGTAGAAAAATAGTTTAAACAAAAAGTATAACATAAGTATATTGGGAGAATGTGGGGAATGACTGGGATGGTGTATACCAGAAAAATAAAAAACTATCTTTAATAACACTTAGGAGAAAGGAGCTATCTAGAAGACATTAGGTTTTTTTTTTTTTTTTTTTTTTAAGATTTTATTTATTTGACAGAGAGAGAGACAGCCAGAGAGAGAACACAAGCAGGAGAGCTGGAGAGGGAGAAGCAGGCTTCCCGCAGAGCAGGGAGCCCGATGCGGGGCTTGATCCCAGGACCACGGGATCATGACCTGAGCCGAAGGCAAATGCTTAACCATCTAAGCCACCCAGGCGCCCCTAGAAGACATTGTTAAAAGAGTTGAAATGCTTGCCTGTAGAGATCAGGATTTTACAACCTATGCCCTATGATTGTTTTCATTAAAATTAGATTATAAAAGGGGCGCCCGGCTGGCTCAGTTGGTAGAGTGTGCAACTCTTGATCTCAGGGTTGTGAGTTTGAGCCCCACACTGGGTGTAGAGATTACTTAAAAAATTAAAAGTTTAAAAATTAGATCATAAAAAATATATATCTATAGCATTCTCTTGCCCTAGTAACCCCAACTCAGGAAAAAAGCGGATTAATCTAGTATGATCTGTTCTTTGAGAGTCCACTATGACTGGCAGTAAGCTCCACTTCCTTTGATAAAAGCTCTGCTTTTTTGGAAAAGTCTAAGTTCAGACAGTTTTCTCCTGGCATCACGTAAATATTGATTCTGAACTCTCCTCATAATCAAATCCAAAATCATCTTTGCTTCATAGTCCTGCTCACACAATTCCAGATTGTTGTGTTTTTTTTTAACTTTATTTATTTATTTCACACACACATACACACACACAGATCACAAGCAGGGGGGTGCAGAGGGAGAGGGAGAAGCAGGCTCCCGGCCGAACAGGGAGCCTGATGCCGGGCTCAATCCCAGGACCCCGGGATCATGACCTGAGCCGAAGGCAGACGCTTAACCGACTGAGCCACCCAGGCACCCCTCCAGATTGGTTTTAGCAATCCTGGAAACTTCACCATTAAATTCTCCCGATAAACTAGCCAAGATGCATAATCCTGAAGAATCCTATCTGCGACACTTCTAAAATTGCTATATTAATGTGATGCATGCAGACTGTGTGTCAGTGAATGTAGCTGAAGTGCTTGACTCCTACCATTTTTTGATGGATTATGCTGACAAAAAAAAAAATTCTTCCTCAAGATCTGTTAAAGCTGCTTAACCTCAACAACCTCTGCTGAGTTAGAACTAACAGGGTGTAATTCCAAAAGAAATTTAAACTATGATACTACTAAGAATTTTATACTTACTTGTAGCTTTTTCAAGAAAATTAAAATGCCTTATTTCTGGAATCATAATTTTAAATTAAATCCCTCCACAACATACTATGGAAGCAAAACAAAGGATATAATCTGTTACACACCTGTGAAGTGGGGCCATTAAACATCCCTTACAGAAGGGGGAAAGTATTTTGTC